TCCGGCTTCGTCTTACATGTATTCTGGAGTAGAATTTTCGTAAGCAAAAGCGTGGTATTTCAACCATAACTTGCGAAAAGACTGACAAGCGCATTGAGATGTTCTCAGAGTGTCGAGATCTGCTCTAAACAGGTCTATATTGCTTAAATAATAAACCGGCTGTCACAGAGTTAATCCTTTAACCCTTCTAACCCCGTATTCAGTATCCTACAGTCCCCTTAGTTGTTGACGGGAGGAAGAGCAGCGCTGCTAGCGCAAAGTGTGACCGCAATCACTAACGCGATGGTGTGCATGATACGCATTCTTGTAGTTGGCGTGTTGAAGATAGAGCGAGGTATGCGCCGTGGGGAGTAAATGATGTTGTAGTGTCGCTGCCTTCTCAGTTTGTGGTTGTGACTTGAAAATGTTGAATTGTAATTTCACATTGGAACTGTCAAATTGACAGCAAACAACAGGGTTTGGTCTTTACGGTAAACAATGAAAACGGTACAGCTTCAAGTTACTTATGAGGTATTGTACGCACCGTGCTGTAGCTGTATAATGCAATCTATACAATTTTAATTGAAATAGTTCCTGTGGAAAGATATACTTCCACATAATACTTCTTTCTGCAAATAGCACACCGCTCAAGCATACTGTAGATACATATTTATCATTTTTTACAAGAATTCTGTCAAGAGCAAAACTGATACATATTATTTGATATCGGTTACTATAATGGATCTCGAAAGACAAAAGGTCCTCGGTACGATAAAACAGTGTCAGCTTCCTGCAACCTACACGTTAAATATTCTGCTACACGAGCAGTGTGTTGTGAAACACGACACCATGTCCATAAAACATGATCAAGGGACATTTTACACCAATACAGTTTGTCCCAATATGGCATCACCTTTACCTGTACAAGTTTACATCTACCGGTACCTCAAAGCCACACCAATGCTCTAGACGTAATCGGCAGCTATTTGGGAGCCAAACCGGCCTTTCCTTCACCAGTACAACGCTACGGTACTTAGAACAGGAAAGTTCTAAGCCACTATGCATCAACAGTGTCCTTCATCATGACGATATGACCCATATTCAGATTAACTTTCCTCATTTATTCATTCTCGAACGAACACCAAAGATAGCTGGGGACTTTACAGACGTCTTCGCATCAGTAGTGTCCAAGCCTATTTGTGTTGTTAATTATTAGTTTGGTCTTGGAACTTCCAAGTTGGAAGTACGTTCGTAGCCACAAGTTTCGTCTGATCTTGGAGGAAACTCGGACCTACCGTATCGCCTGCCTGAAGATCCAGAATTCCATTTCTGATTGCATGAAGTTGTAGTGGTTTCTCAGTTGGCAATCCACTTACGACAGGAACGGACGACGACTTGAAACCGTCGTTATGAAACTCATGACCTGTGGCAAAACGTGATACGAAACTAACGAAGCAGAGGTTACCAACGTAGCACAGGGACAACATCTACATAGCATACAAGAACTAGTTAGCTAAGACGCTAACCATCAATATCACTTCGGAATTTGCATCTTAAAGATCAAGTTGACATCCTGCAAGGGCTATTGCCGACTTGGCGACGCTGAAGACGCTACAAAGTATACTTTAGCTGCGTTCAAACAGCATGTCACAACAAAGTCCTCCAAAGAGAGGTCGTGCCAACACGGACGGCGACTTCGGTAGTACAACCACGAGCGTGAAGGCCATGTGCGTCAGCTGCAAGATCCACCTCAAATGCCGTTGGTCGGGTCGATCACGCAACCGGAGACGGTCAGGCTGACGCCGACCCGCAGCCCGGTGTATCAGACAGGGTCGTCGCAGTACGCGTCTGCCACGTCGGAAGCAGAGACGGACAGCTCCGCTGATCTGCAGCGGATGCGCTTGGTCCGTCCGGAGAAGAGATGCTACAGGATCGCTAGGCTAACAATAAGCCTGATCAATAATCGCACGAGCCGACATCCATGGTCGCACCGACAGTGACGTCAAGGAGTCCAGAGCAGATGCAGACCTTCTTCAATGCAGCCATGAGCCGATACCTCAAGGAGACCCAAACTGAGGGGTTGACGCCAACGGCCGGTCGACACACGACGACCAACCAAGATGTGGAGATGGAATCAGTGGAGTCCCATCACGGCTCAAACGGAGAGTATGATCCAGATAACCTGAGCATCGACACGCCTCAACAAGCAGTGATCGAATCCGCAGGAGCAGCCTCTGCACTCTCGACGACGACGCCACGCGTACGAGTGTCGACGATATCGGAGCTGAAGAAATACTCCGGCAAAGATCACGACGAGGATCGGGCGAGGAGTTGGCAGGGCAAAGTGAAGTTTGCGTTCGTCCACGATCAAGATCCGGACAGCAAAAATGTCTGGTACTGGGTGATCTGCTCACGGGACCAGCTCGCAACTGGTACCGGCAACTGAGTCGATCAACAAGGAGCAACTGGAAGAACTTGTTTGAGGCGTTCCAGACGCAATACTGCGGACGAGGAGTATCTGGCGCACGGCCGTACTACCACGTGAAGAAACGTTCGGACGAGTCGCCCTTGGAGTATCTCCACCGACTGAACGTGGCAGGCTTGCGAGCTAAGCTCCAGGTCAAGGATGGACATCTAGCCACGCGTCGGGGCACGTCGAACACTTCATCGAGACGCTGGATGATCGAGATCTCGCTGATCAACCGGCTTTGCTGCGGTTAACCGACGCCGAGGATCTGAAGGAGACACTACGGGCGCGACAACGCCCGAAGGCCCGCCAAGGGAAAACCCATGCTGGATCAAACAAATTCCGGCAGAAAGCGGTGCCCGAACCTCCGTCAGCGTCCTCAAAGAATGCGCGAGCTGTACGAGCGATCCGCGTGGCGGAAGACAGCAGTGAGTCGGAGTCGGATGTGGGCACGTCGGATCAAGAAGACGAATGCCGTCGCGTGTACTAAGCGGAAGCCAAAGACCGAGTGAACCACTCGATCACGCTTAGATACGGCGCAGCTGACCATCCCAGAATGTCGCAGGAGAACTGTACCCACTGCGGATCAACGAAACACGACAACCTGGGTTGCTGGAAGCGACTGACGTGCCAAAAGTGCGGCAGGAAGGGGCATCCATTCGATCATTGTCTTTTCGTCTGCCGAGCATGCGGAGATATGCACGAGCCCGGAAAGCGTCCGATGGAGGAGTTCTACAACTTGATCCGTCCGTGGTACATCTC